CATGAATGTCAAATCAATGGTCATTGCTATGCGTAATCACTAGTCCTCGCATCTAGTTCCATGGATACTCATGTAAGCCCGTCGCAACATAGATCTTAAATGGTAGTCCCACATTCCAGGAATAAGCTTTCGATCGGGTCTTGGCTTGGAGATATGCTGACAAGAACAAATCTAACTTACTGACGAGGTACGCCTAGGACTCGAAGGGCTTTCCGCCTTCCTGCTCAGGCCGGTAGGAAGTCCTTCCATTCATCTGTCCTCCTTGTCAACTATTCATCTCTCGAATGATCAAGGAATCCAGACATCCAGACATCTTACTCCGTATCGATCAACTCACCCCCACCGCTTGAGTAGTGCTCACTACGCATATGCAGAAGATGATAATGATATTTCCCTCTAGATACCCACCCACGAGCTGAGAACATACTACATCTGCAAGTTTCACCAAGCCGAGTCAAAACCCGATATCACATAGATAATATGGACGTAGATACGAGCTCTCGTTGTATTGCAAACCTGCATCGGGCTCTTTCACTGCACTGCATTATTGTTGGGCGCCTCAAATCTATCTGCTTCTGCTTAGAAACCCGGTCCCCGGAACCTCGCGAGGATAGTACGTTTGTTGCACCTGACCTAACCTAGTACCCGACAAGTTGACTGGGTAGTGCTTTGGATACAGGGTGGAACGGGGTATGGTATCACTGTACGTTACAAGTGGTGCATTACGGGACGTTACCATGAGCTATAATACCACGGTGCAGATTCAAGTACGGGTAACTTACCTCACCCCAAGAGTTATTGAAGTGCCATGGCATTTGCGACTAGGATTCCCGCACGCACAGCCACTGCCTGGACTAGCCACAGGCCTGGTGACAAGACATTGACAGACCCACCCTGGGTTGTCCGTACCTGACTGTACGTCTTAGATCTCAATTGTTGAGTCGAGCAGCATGAGACAGTTGGGGACACTATTACAGTAAACAATATGTTCAACCATGAAGTCTTCGAACTCTATATGGATAGACTGTTCGACTCTATCAGGGTACTTTGATTCGTAACCCTACTTCGCTGTACACAATCGTCGACAATTGTCATCCGTAGTATAACTATATGCTGTAGCGAGCGACTCAAATGACGCTTCGAACTGATGTCAACGCTACCACGGTGCGACGCTGTCGATTTGTCATTCCAAATGCTAATGCAACCTGACGCCATGCTAAATCCAGGATCAAACAAAATATTAAACAATGTATGGGTATCACAAGGCATATCCCCAAGGAGAGAAAACAAAAAAGCCAATCACTCCGTCAGTTGCACGGTCGGTAGCGGATCCAAGAGCACACTGCGCCGTCGCGACAGCACTCCACCCACAGACGGATTGTCCTTGGCACGCGGCACGCCGCGGCTACGGCGGCGAGGATGTCGCAGATGTTCGTTGGGCACCGGATCCACCTGCTTCTTGGCCGCCGGTACGAGGTTCAAATAGATTGGGAATATGGCGCCCGCGGCGGAGACCGCCACGAGAACGCTATACGAGTAGGGTACGCCGCCTACCAGTTGCGCTGCGTACTGCGCAAACGGGAAGATACCACCTCCCCCTCCGATGGCCATTGTCAGCAAACAGCCGGCTGTCTTGGTATGCCGTCCCGTGCCCCGCAAAGCGATGGCAAAACTGATACTAAAGGCACCGCTTTCGAACAGATATACAAGCTCCGCCATTGTCACCGCCGTGAGGCCGGTAGTATGCATGCATAGCGCGGCGCACACGATCATGCCAATGTAGGACAACAGCAGAATCCAGCGTGGCTTCAGAAACCATTGCAGAAGAGCGGCTAAGAAACGCCCTACTGCAAAGACTGTGTGCCCAATGGTCAAGAATTCGAAGGGGCTTAAGGAAGCGCTGTACCCACTTTAATGAAATGAGCAAAAGGAGATCAGGATAGGAAACTCACTTTGGATGAACCTCCTCGACAAAACGCGCAAAGCTCATGGACAAGACTTCTTGGCCCGCGACATACATGAACACGGACCATATACCCAGGCCCAGTGTGACCCAAACCACCGGCAACCCCGCCACACGAGCACGATTGTCGGATCGCCGACGGTTTGCCAACTCTTCCAAATCAGCATCGGAAGCCTCCGGAACAGGCAGGTAGTAGAAGACGAGGGCCAGGATCACGTCGAATAGAGCGATGCCAAGGTAGGTCCACTGGACGTCTACCAAGGAGGATACATCAGTAACCTTTTTAAACAGAACCTTTTTCGCCAGAAGCTGCGAAACAACACTGCCAACAGCCTGGACACCCTGTGAGATGTTGAGACGAATCTCGGAGTTTTCGAGCGGACCGCATAGAGCAATGAACGGGTTGCCGGCTGTCTCAAGCACGGCCAAGCCGAACCCGACAATAAAGTTGGACACAGCGAACGCTGAATAAGAAGTCAACACAGCGGAGGGCCAGAAGATGAGGGAGCCGCATGCGTAGATGCAGAGGCCCGTTATGAATGAAGCCTTGAAGCCCCAATGTTTGAGCACCGGACGGCCCACAAGCGGTGGGCCCAACAGATACCCACCGTAGTAGGTCGCGTGCAAGCCGTATGACCGATATACACCAAGATGTAGGATTTTCTTGAATTGCTCATTCAGCATGTCGAGCAATCCATAAGCAAAGCCCCAAAGGAAGAACAAAACAGTGGTGAACGCGATCGGTGTGATGGACTCCTTGTTGCTCAGCTTGAGCATGTTCGCGGGCTGTTTCATATTGACGAAGTCGAAGAAGGTGATACTGGGCGGGTAGGAGGAATTAGTCACTGTGTTCGTGCGCTGCTCCACGTCGGTCGCTTCCGCGCCTGGTTGGGGCGGCGGGGCGGCCAGAAACTCCGTCAGATCGACGCGTGCGTCGCTGCCAGCCTGACTGCTCCGACTCTCCGACTGGGTGGGTTTAGGGTTTGGGGTTCCATTTGACGGGGCAGGTCGGGGCACAGAGTCCCCGACTGCAATGGGCGCCAGCGCCTGTAGCGGTTGGGTGCCAGGCGAAGAGGCCTGATAACTTTCGTCGGTGTCGCGAATGAGCTTGGGAAGCAATCGGGCGACGAGCGGCTTGAGGCTAGGAACGCAGGCGCATATAATGGACACATTGACTTCGATGACGGACCACATGAAGGAGAATGCCGCGTACCCTAAAGCTTGAAGTTAGAGGTAGACGAAGATGCAACCACGGGGCACAGTTGACTAACAGCTCAAATCGTCGCCGGGGGTACCCTGGAGGTGAACTTCTTTGAGGGCGATCTGACGGGAAGTCGCAGCATCTTGAATGTAAGCGATCCGAATGACATCAACCACGGCGACAAAAAATCCAAAACTGAATGTGATGACGATAATGATTTTTTGCTTGCGCGGCAGGCGCATTCGCGTGAGAATGGGATTCGGTAGGCAGAGGATTGCCAGGTCGGTAATGATGTTGACTGGGGAGGAGGACAGATAGAGGGTGAGGATGTCAATGCACTTGGCGCCGTCGGGCAAGGGGTATGCGACAGCAGCACTGACTGGACGACACTGGAAGACGTTGACAAGGGTGAGGGCCAGGCCAGCGGCATTGACGACGAAGAGGGTGACGTAGGTGGCCCAGCGGAAGATCTTTTCGCCCTGTGTAAGGGTCAGGTAGAAAACAAGGATGGAAGTTTTGATGGCCATCAAGGTTGGGTTCTGAGTCGTCCGTGAGCCGAGCGCAGAGAGCAGAAGCGGAGCGGAGGACTCACGTAAAGGACGGTAAAGGCGTAATCGGCGCGATTGAGGCCGGGCCGTTGCTCGGGGCGAATATTGACATCGTGAAGTCCGAGGCCTTGGTGGGTAGCATAGAAGAGGGAGAAGGAGAAGCCGAAATCAAGGACCTGGAGGGTGTTCGGGGAGTATGGTCAGTTCGCTTATCGCCCAGTATGGAGAAAATCGATATGGTGGATAGATATACCCAGGCCAAAAGCATAAAATAGTCATGCAGGGCAATTTTGCGAACTATAAAAAGGCGAGAGACGAAGCGCAAGGCAACAAAAACCGTGGCGACAATAAAGAAGACAATTGAGACGGTTAAAACAGTCGGTCGTTGGTCTTCCATCACGGAGAGAGAAGAGGGGGAGAGCGGAGGAGAGCGAACTCGGAGGGAGCGGAAGGGTCGGTTAGAGGCGGGGAGGAGGAGAAGAAGAAGAAGAAGGAGGAGGGGAGGGAGGCAGGCCCATGATTGACTTCGCTCGACGGATTCACGGCATGGAGGCAGATAGATCTGTACATATGAGATATCAAGACAAGTAGATGTGTTGAAAAGAGAGTGTGGGTGGTAAAGGAGAAGGAAAAGGTTGAGGGGATGAAGCGGAGAAAAGGAAGAGGAGAAAGATTTGGAGAGGAAAAGAAGGCAGGCAGGAAAGCAAGTAAGCAGGAAAGAGGAAAGTAGACGAGAGGGAAAAAGAGGGAAAAAGGATGGAATTTCCAAGTTCCAACCACGCAACTTGGAAGGCTTACTCGACAATTTAATTTAAAAAAAAAATACGGAAGAAAAAATAAAATAAATATGGCAAATTAAGTAAGCTAAAGCAATCGCACTGAATATTGATCGACAGTCACTCTTCCAAGTAAAAGGAGTTATTTCACTACAGAGTACGGAGTAGCAAGACCAACAATTGATTGATGGAGGGATGGGGATGGACAGTAGAAATTGGTAAGGATGAGAGAGAAGAAGGAGAGAGAACGACGTAGCGGTTATGTTATTTCTCTTCACCCCCTCGCGTGGCATCTCTTACATAGACGGACCCGTTAGTTATCATTATCCGCAGTAGGAATTTGTTCCTGGGCGATCGACTCTTTAATGTTTAATAGTACGGTGTGACAGATTATCTGCATGGGGATCCTCATTTGGTCTCCAGATTGATTTGTGCACTATACTACTTCAGTCCTCTTGTTGAATGGGGGCCATTGCTTGATTTGTTTAGCGAGGTCTTTTATCCCCCGCAATCTTTGCTGCCATCGGATGACAAGTTGACAACTTCTACAGCCCTAACCTAACCACCGCTGATAATGCTCTCCTCATCAACCAGGATCTTCCGCTTCGGTGGTCTTGTTGCTATCACATGGTCCCATAGCCTCTCTAATGGATTAAAGCAGCCAATTCGACCCGAAGCTCGGGGCATATGAACACTCCTGCACAAACAACTCTTGTATAAAGAACCGACCTTGGGTCTTCAATCTCCCTTTCCAGATAACGGCTCAGCCCTCTCTTCGCTATGAACACTGCGATAATCCTTGTGACCCTACTGACGGCTCTAGCTGTCTGTCAGGATCACGATTACTGGGTTGACCGAGTCTGGGGGGAGCTGCAGCAGGCTGTGACGTGTGCAACCTGCGAGGTGAGCGGAACGCTAGCCGAGATGACTGACTGGCCACGGGTTGATATTGGTTGCAGATCCTGTTAGGCACATTGAGGGCCGTGGCGCATCAGGGCCCGGATGTTCTGAGAGCAGTCTTGAAGGAGCTGTGCACGCAGGCCAAGGTTAGATCGATCATCTCTTTGTCTTGTTGTCACTCTAAATCGCCGAGTCCAGATTGCCGATGCCGATGTGTGCCAGGGCACCGCGGCCGCCCAAGCGCCCAGCGTCTTTTACATCCTCGAACAGCTGCAGATTGGATCGGTGACCAGTCGGTTGATGTGCGCCAGCTTGGGTCGCTTGTGTCCGTGGTCTGAGATCGAGTTCAATTTGACTCTGCCACCCGAGCCGTCGAGCCAGCCCATCACGAGGAGCGTCAACGATAATACAAGGGATGGCGAAAATCGAACCGTCCGCGTGGTCCATCTCAGCGACACGCACGTTGACCGCTTCTACACGGCGGGAGCCAGCTATGCCTGCTCGAAACCCATGTGCTGCCGGCCTTGTACAGCGGCCGATGCGCCCAACAGCACGCTCTTCCCCTGCGGTGACTGGGGCAATCCCCGGTGCGATCCTCCCATTCGCCTCCTGATTGACAGTCTATTACCCGTCCTGCAGGGCCTTCAGCCTCCGCTGGCCTTCACGTTATTCACCGGAGACGTCGTCCCCCACGATTTCTGGCTCACCAGTCGAGCCTCCGTCGAAGCCGACTACAACACCACGTATACCGCCCTGCAGCCCCTCACCCGCCAGGGACCCGTCTATCTCGCCATCGGCAACCACGACACCTCTCCGATCAACATCTACCCAGTCTCTCCCACGCCATCCTCGAATCTGACGCCGCAATGGGCCTACGACCTCTTCGCCTACTGGTCGAACCGCCTCTCCCTCCAACCGAGCCTACCATCACCAGTGCCCCAACCCAGGAACCACGGCAACTACAGCATCCTGCACCAGCACCACCAAACCAAACCCCCCCAAAACGTCCCCACCACTCAAGATAATCTCTCTCAACAGCCTCCTCTACTACCGCATCAACATTCTCAGCTACACGACCCCCCCAACCCCGGACCCCCTCTCCCAATTCGCATGGCTCACCACCGAGCTCCACCAGGCCGAACGCCACCACCAGCGCGTCTGGCTCCTCACGCACGTGCCCCCGGGCAACTCCCACATGCTGCCTTGCTACGCCCACGCCCTGAAACGGATCATCGAGCGCTTCCGCGCCACCATCGCCGCCATCTTCTCCGGACACCGTCATCTGGATCTCTTCCAGGTGTACTACCGTCCCCTTAGCCCCAACAATGCCTCAACCATGCGCAGCAGTCGAATGATCCACAATACCAGCCGCAAAGCCGTAGCCATCAACTACATCACCCCCAGCCTCACGTCCGAGCGCGGCCGCCCGGCCTTCCGGATCTACGACGTCGATCCCGCTACCTGGGCGGTGGTGGATTATACGGTCTACGTGGCGGACTACGAACCCTGGGGGGCCGGGGCTGCCTCGTCTGCCGGACTGTCCCATGGACACGCTGCTGATGGACATCACCACCCAGCCCATGGGGCCGCAAAGCTGACGTGGAAGAAGTACTACTCGGCGCGCGAGGCCTACGGGACGCGCACGGAGGAGGACGGGAATGAGACGCTGTTCGAGGAGTGGTGGGCGCGACGCACGCGGGGCAGCTGGGTGACGCCGTGTCGCGGGGTATGTCGGCGGCGGGAAATCTGCTACATGAGGGGTGGGCCGGACGACGGCGAGGGCGAGGGCTGGGAGGGCTGTCCGGGGAGTGTTCTCACCACGCGCGGTCGGCACGGGCATGGCGTTGCCTGAATGGGGCGGTGGATGATGGAGTAGGTACCGAAAGTTTTCGTGATCGTGCAAGGGTGGACTACTACACACGGTGGGAGGGGCATGGTAGAGTGAGGAGTGGATCGACTTGCCTGGAGGAAGTCCTACTGGTAACTTACCGCCCACTTTTTCCAGTTCCTCGCTTTACTTAATCCCAGCTACTTGCTTTACTTGATTCCAAAGATAGGATGAAGAAAGAATGCAATCTATTCAGACCATCGCGCCGCGACGGGTTCGTTCCATTCTCCCATGTATTTCAACAAAAAGGTATGCACACGGAAAAAGAAAATAAAAAAAAACTGGCAGCAGGGTAATCATTCTATCCGTAAATCACATTTCCTTCACTTCACACATCTACTGGATGTACCAGTCGACACCGCTGACACGGCCGGCACCCAGTTCGGCCAACTCGAGGAACAGCGACGAGGACAGATCGATGGAACCCTCGGTACAACCCATGCAGGTGTCGACGATGGTACCGGTGGCGGTCTTGCCGCCGTAGTTGATGGTCACCGTCTTGCCACAGTAGCTCTTCTGCATGATGGTGTGGGACAGGGCCAGGACGTGCTCGCTGTCGGTGTTGGTCTCACCGCAGGATCCCAGACCGACCTCGTAATAGGTGATGTCTCCGCTGCAGGGCGAGGACTCGGAGCAGACGCCAGAGGAGCTCGAGCCGGAGGAGCTAGCGCTGGTGGTAGCGGCGGCAGCAGCGGTGGTGGAGGTAGAAGAAGAAGAGGTGGTGGTGGTGGTCCAGGCCGAGGTCGTGGAAGTGGTGGAGGAAGTGGTGGTGGCGTGCCACTGCTCAGTGGTCGAAGTCGCGACGCTGGTGGTCCACTGCGGAACCTCGGGGGTCCAGGTGAAAGAGGGCACGGCGGGGGCGGTCCAGATGGGCTGTTCCCATCCAGCAGTCGTGGAAGTAGCGTGGGAGCTGTGGTGGGAGCTGTGGTGCGCCTGGGTGTGATCGGCGACCTTGTTCACAGCGTCGTTGGTGGCAGTAGGCTCGACAGTGACGGTGGTGGTCACGTCGACGGTGGTCCAGACAACAGAGGTGACGGTCTCGATCTCAACAACTTGGTCGCGCTTGTCGACGGGGGCGGCCGAGGCGAAAGCCGCAAGCAGGGAGCCAACGAGGGCAAGAGACTTGGTGATGGGAGCCATTGCTTTTTGAATCGTGGAGTTTGACGAGGGATATCGGGTTGATTTTTTTGAGTCTAGAAAGCGGGTTGCTTGCTTGCTTGCTTGCTTGAGGGGATGTCTATCTAGACGAAGGACTGGCTGGCTCTGGTCGACAGAGGAATTGGAGGAGTTCGAAGATAAGGACTGACTGACTGACTGCACTGCAGTACGATAGCAAAGCGAACCCAAGGGAGTGTGGGTGTGAAAGAAGGAACGACAGACGCTGCTGGTTGAGGAGCGAGAAATGAAGGAGAGGAGAGACCGAGAGGGGCAGCCCTTTATAAAGTCTGGATGGAGGGGGACGGAGGAGGGACTGACAGTCAGGGCCGGGACCGTCTAAGGAAATCCGACTGGTGTTAGTGCACTAGTGTTCGGCTACAATAAAACGATTTTTTACTTTAAACTTTTTCTTTTGGAAAAAAAAAACAATTTTATTTATTGAATTGAAATTATAAGAGTGAATATTATACGTACTTGTTATAGTGAAAAGTAAAAAAAAAAAGTGAAGGGAAAAAAAAGGAGCTAACCCACCGCAGGTAAGTTCGTTCACCTTTGAGGGAGCCCTGAGAGCCCAGAGTGTGGTGCCAATCATCCATAAGAAGCGTTGTCCCTGGCAGAGAAACCAACCGAAAGGATTGGCCCGAGTTCAGGCCCCCGCAGGCTGGAGGGAGGGAGACCCACTGCAGCAGCCCAGCTCGTGAACGCCCCGATCAACTGGTCAGGCACGGAACCAGTCAAAAGTCAAAACCACACTTTTGGCAACTGCGGAACCTGAACGGTACCTCAGGATTCAGGAACTGTCCTACCACTCGACTGTAGGTACAGTACAGTCCGGAATATTGTACTCGCTGTCTTACCCTCCATGCCTTTACCCACTTCTCCTCACCGTCTCTCCCAGGGACCTACTACTGTTCACTGGGCACTCTTCCCCCTCTTCCCCCGTCTACCAATAACTCCTCGTCTGCCACCTCATCAACATGTGTTTTACCACTGGCCACGCCTCGTATTGGACATTGCATTTGAGAAGAAAGGAAGAATGACGTGAACTGTACAGTCATTCAGCGCGTTCCTGAATGCCGACTGATCGACTGATTGGCGGGCCCTCGATTGGCGCCGGTGTCTCAGCCAGGCGGGTTTGGAGGGCGACTAAGTGTGCTGACTGGTCGCCGCATTGGTTAGGTCTCCATTGACTTTTCGGTGCTGTGGCTTGTACCTGGCCCGTATTCTTCGTCTTCTTTCTTCTTCTCTGCAGGCACCAGGACCAGGGCCCGTCCGAGGCCCAGGGCGGCATCGATCGGCCATTTTGATCATTTTATTGTGATGGCACCCCCTTGAGTTCATGGTTCCCTCCCTTTTCCCTTCTCATTACCAAGAGTCCAAGACCAATAAATCCCACTCAGCCACAAGCCACATCCGATTGACTACGGAGTAGAAACGGTGCCTGACGGGACGGCATGCACAAATTATTTGGGTGAGCCTCAGTCAAAAGCCTTCAAGGAGGGGAAAAAAAAAAAAAAAAAACATGAAATAAAATAAAAAAACATCGAAGAAAAGAAAAGAACAAACATTCGTCCGACACATCTTCCCCTGAACGTATCATTTGAGACACCCTCTTCGATCAACCTCTTTCAATCCTGTCTTTCACAACTAAACTTTTTTTCTCCTCCTCCTCCTCCTCCTCCTCCTCCTCCTCCCACTCGGTGGCGAAAACACCATGGATGGATCCTGGTAGATTTCACCATCTCAGGAACGTAGCCTATGGAGGAGTCGACCGTGCGGTGTCGACGTGTCCGCGACCCTCCGAGTCTTAGGGACTCCATCGCAGCGCGCAGCCAGTGAGGGCGGGCAACGCGACCACTAAGGCGGCCAGATGAGTCCAATTGCGGATGCTTTCCCCTCTTCTCGGAGGGCTTTCATGATTTCATCTGTCCAGGGCTGCATCTTCCCCTCTTCTGTGAGTGCTTTTTGGCCCTCGTCTCTGCCCCACTACGAAAATTTTCTGTTGTGTCGGGCCTTCCAGCAAGGCCGATTGGAGGGGATGCAGTCGCCGGTTCAAGATTCCTGTTGAATCTTGCCAGATTCAGCCGATCTAGACCGGTGAACAAGAAAAGTGTCGATGTAATCATCCATAGAGAGGAATCCTTTTAATTCTTTCATGTTCAGTGGGTAGTGTGTGTGTGTGTGTGGGAATACGAAACTTGGCAATGGAGTTCTGAGACGCCACATGGGCTGATGGAGTCAACGGGTTGAACAGACACACACACAAACACCCAGCGCTCGGTCCAGACCCTGATCCCTGATTGATCTCTGATCCCGACCGGTCAATACCCTTAGTCAACCATTGCATTCTTAGTATGGAGCAGTTACTTACTGTACATGCTCAGTACTCTACATTGTCTACAATGTGCAGTACATATCTATCCGATCCTACCGATCCATTGAGAATCAACAATCCAGAAACCTGCACAGTGACATCAAGCCTGCCTCCGCCCATGACATGTATCGCATCTGCAGAGCATTCTAGGCGCCCCCTCACTCCCTCCCTCCCTCCCTCCCCACCCATCGGAGCATATTCTATCGATTCACACCCGGTAGTCATTCACACCGCACAATTCCTTTGACCCGGGAGACGGTGAATCTGCAGCATGGTCAACCTCTTCCGCATTCCCCGGCTGTCTGTCCATCTGCCCGGCGGGCGGTCTCCTCGCTTACGGCGGGGCGATGTTCTTGGGATCAAGTCAGGTCTCTTTGTCCCTGTACGCCAGCGTAGCCCTGTTTGCAGCAGAAGTATGGGGTACCTCGCTTCTGTGCTATGTGAGTAAGTACTGTACAGTATGCCACTGTACATCTCCTTCATCGTCATCACCATCATCCATCCATCCAACACCGCTCAAACGGGAGCTCAAACGACTAGCCCCCACAACATGCTACAACCGACCCCCCCTAAGCAAACCTCCAGAGATTGGGTTAGATGGTACCTGACCGTCTCGTCTTCAGGAAAGAGCTAAGCTCCTTGTCATCATTTCGATCTCGAGATCCCTCACCCCACTCGGACAGCTTCGAAGGAGCTTCTGAACAGCCTAGTGCCAACACATGAACCAGAGCTATAGCTGTTGGCTGGTCTGCCAACCACCAAGCGGGAAAACCCGCTGAATCCTTAAGCTATCCTTTCAGCAGCTGCTGCGCTCTATCATCTATAGTCACACAACGGACATGAACCCCGGGTGCCAGCCACAAATCCGTACCTGCGCACGTACGACCAACAGCTGTCTCAGCACCGGGGATTTAACGCGCGTTGGCTTGGGCGCTGATGAAACCAGAGCTGCTGTCCGAAATGAGTTATGTTTCCATCTGACAACCAGGGATATCCATCCAACCGAGGGACGGGATGATTCAAACATCCCATTGGATGCCATCAGCATTGTTTCACCCATCACTGGAGGAAAAGGGCTACACAAGCATCACGCTCAATTTCCGCACTCCTCCAGTGTGAAGCGAACACCTCCGTGGACCACGGCCCGGCCCATTCCATGACAAGCAATTTCAGCGGGGTGGTTTAATTACGGCTGTTGGCCCCCCGTGAGGATCTCGCTTGCGGGATGATACCAACGTTGGGACCGGGTGAGGGATCGTATGGAGGGTTTCTTCCCCAACGCAGGAAGTGGCAGTGTTGATGTAGAGGTACTTGTTCAGCTTCGCTAGCGGACGTTTTTTCGGGGTCTGTCGACTACAGGACGTGTTTCTCTGGGTCCATGTGGATTGGTGTCCTAACTAAGCAGGGCTCCTCGAAAATGGTTGATGTACAACAATCCCAGCGTGCATGCTCGAGGTCGCCTCTGTATTTCCTGGTACACGTTTTGGAACTCACGGGAGATGCCTTCCCTTACGCACATCTCCTTGTGATTCATACTCTCTCAACAGCAGGTTAGCGCGCTGACAGAACCTTTTCGAAGATCGCATGTTCCGGTCTGTGGCCAAGAACTGGTCTCATGATTTCGAGGCGCGATTGAAAGTGTGTTCCAGCTTACTAAACAGCTCAACTCGAACGGGTTTATTCGACAGCCTCTGGTGTGGAATGACCAGCCACATAAGCTGGAGATTCTATCGAGTAATGGCGCCCATGTTGAACGACAGCGAGCTCCAGATTGAATCACAGATCTCGAAGCCGGGTGCGGAGTAAGTCATGTAACCCCCGTTTTCCAGGCCTAATGCTGTCCATCTTCGGACGTAACAAAGTGCACTCCCCATATCCCCATTGGCTGCACCAGCCGAAGATAGTTCGAGTTAAGCATTCAGGAACAAACATGATTCCGAGGTGTGGTTGAGGTGGAGGACGAGGCGGCAGGATACCAGCGTTAGGCGCCGCCGCTCCGGGTCTGGTCGCGATCCGAAGCGCCGGGCCATCCCACCCTACCTTCAGTAGTGTCGCTTAGTGCATACTACCCAGGCACCTGTTATGGTGATAGACCAGCGACAATGTAATTCATTCGCCGGATTCCGGCAAGTAGTGCGCGCGCGGCTGTACTGGACCTACGGGATCAACAAACCCTGTAAGCCTTTGGCGCTCCGTCTAAGAAGAGTCGACGAACGGCATCGCAGCCTTGGGATGTCAATTTCCATCGATGCTATAGCCCATACATGTAGTATAAAAAGCGTGTGCTTTCGTGTACCTGTCACCGAGCATGAGCAGGTGTTTCGGGCAATCGCTACAGGAGGCAGCTTGTCTCTATACTACGAAGCAGCACCCACTCTTTCAGCATCTCCAGCATCAAGCAAGCCTCTACCACGCCGTGATTTATCGACCATGGTATGTGCAATCCCGAGATCGATAGACCTGATAACGCTCTCTAACCATCATGGGGGAACCCCGCCCCCGCCCCTCCCGAATTAAAGTCCGGATTAGACGTGGCGGTGTCCGTTCTCTCACTGATCGAGGCCTCGATCAGCCTCATCGGCCAGCTGCACGACGCCTACACGCGCCAAAAGGAGCACGCCAGCCTCCTCGCGGGGTACGAGGAGGAGCTGCGCAGCGCCCAGAGCATCATCCAAGTGGTCGCGGACGAGCCCGACCTGCAGACCGCCGAGATCTCCGCGCAGCTGGTGCGGACGGAGGCGCTGGTGCAGAAGCTG